AAATGCTATCCACATCCAGAGAAAGAACTATGGAGTTTGAATGCAGATCGAAGCATACTATTTGCTCTTTTTTTTCTTCTGTTTTGTTTTGTTTTCCCTTTCTTGTGGTTCCTTCCATTGGTTCTGATTCTTCCTTACAACATGACTAACATGAAAATATGTTTAATAGGAATGTAGATGCATAGCCTATATCAGATTGTGGGGCCATCTTGGGGAGGGAGGTGGGGAGTGAGGGGGGAAAATTTAAAACTCAAAAGCTTATGGAAGTGATTGTTGACAAATCAAAATAAATTAATTTTTTAAAAAAAGAAAAAAAATATTTCCCTTTCTCTCCTGTGATACTGCCACCTCCCTGGTTCGGGCCCTCATCACCTCATGCCTGGACTATTGCAGTAGCTGCTGGTGGGTCTGCCTGCCTCATCTCTCCTCACTCCAGTCCATCCTCCATTCAGCCACCAAAGTGATTTTCCTAAGACATAGGTCCCTCCATGTCATTCTCTTATTCAAGAAACTCCAGTAGCTCCCTATGGCCTTCAGGATCACATGTAAAATCCTGTTTGTCATTCAAAGCCCTTCAGAACCTCCTCCCTTCCCCTGCCCCCAGTCTTCTTATACCTTTTACCTTCTCACATACTGTGTGATCCAGTGACACTGGCCTCCTGGTTCTTCCCCAAACAAGACCCTCCCTCCTGCAGCTCCAGGTATTCTCCCTGATCATCCCCCATGCCTGGAAGACTCTCTCTCCTCATCTCAGCTTCCTGGCTTCCCTGAAGTCTCAGCTGAAATCTCGCCTCCAGGAAACCTTTCCCCATCTGTCTTAATTCCAGTGCCTTCCCTCTGTTGATTATCTCCAATTTATCCTGCCACCTGTACATTGTTTGGAAGTAGCTGTTTGCATGTTGCCTCCCCCATTAGACTGTGAGCTCCTTGAGGTTAGGGACTGTCTTTTGCCTTTCCTTGTGTCCTCACTCCTTAGCACAGTGCCTGGCACATAGTAGGTGCTTAATCAGTGTTTACTGACTCTAGCTTCCAAAGTGATTTTTTTGAAGCATGGGTCTGATTGTGTCACCCTTCTGCCCCTCTACAAACTCCAGTGGCTCTCTCTTGCCTCCAAGATCAAGAAGAAGGTTCTCCATTTGGCATGGAAAGTCCTGGCTTTCCAGTCTTCTTACACTCCTGACCTCTTTGTTTTTTTGTGCTTGGAATGCCCTCTGTCCTCACCTCTGTCTCTTGGAATCCCTGGTTTCTTTTAGGGCTCAGATTAAGCACCCCCTGCTTCAGCAGGTCTTTCCTGGACTCTTCGCATTCATTTGGTGTACTTCTGGGGATGCTTGTGTGTGTTGTTTGCCTCCTTAGAGTAAAAAATCCTTGAAGAATGGACTTGCACCATTGCTTTTTGTACCCAGAACCTTTAAACCAGTGCCTAGTAAAGGCTCACTGCCCATTCAATAGGAATTCAGCTGTTACTGAAGTCTTGGGCTTCATTCAAATAAGTTGTGTCCAGATTCCAGGAGCTCACTAGTCCCTCTGTCATCTGCCCTAGACAGATTACATCCCCAGAACTGTATGTTGTTCTGGACATTATGCTTTGGCAAGGCCATTGAGCAATAGAAGGATGCCGAGAGGAAGGGCATTTGGTACTAGGGTTCTTGGTATGTGTCATATAATGCATGATGTCTGTGATGCCTTGAGTCTGTGTGATCTAAGGAGTGGGTGAAAGAACTCAAGGTATTTAGCCTGGAGAAGAGAAGACGCCAAGGGGACATGAGCACTGTTGTCAGATATTTAAAGGATTTTCTTGGGGATGAGAGATTTATATTTATTCACTGGTATCCAGAGAACAGGACCAGAAGTGGGGAGGTATAGAGAGACTGAGCTCTGCTTGATGTCTGGAAAAACTTCATTTAGAAACAGTGAGAGCTGTTCTAGGGAGGGAACTTGGCCATGCAAGGACTAGCTGAGGTTTAACTGGGATGTTTAACCCAGAAACCACAGGCTGACATGTCCCTCTAGATGTCAGAACTAGGCCGGAGATGTGCAAGTTACAGGAAGGCAGACTTCAGATCAGCCTAAGGAAGAGTTTTCTAACGTGTTAAATGGGATGCCTTATAAGAAAATGAGCTCCCTGTCTTTCGAGTGCTCAATTAGAGAATAGATGACATAGAGTTTAATATTGGAAGGGACTTTCGAGATCAGCAAGTTTAATTCCTTCATTTTACAAACGAGGAAACAGGCCTAGAGGGGGAGATGACTGCCCCAAGTCAAAAGGGTAGTAAGTAGCAGGTACAGGCCTTGAGGCTTCCGGTCCCCAATCCAGGCCTCCACCTCATCTGTCGGGGATGCTCCACAGGCGATCACCTAGATGCCCTTGGAGCTCCCCTCCATCTCTAAATCGCTAACCTCTGAGATCCCTTCCAAGTCTAACCTTTGGGAAACAGCTCCAAAGAGGGCTGCTTTTAGATGTGGAAAACACACAAGCAGAAAAAAAAAATCACACCCACTTTTTTTTTTTTTAAAAGCTTTGAGATGACATTGAATTCTATTATAAACAATGCACTTTTTTTTATTGGTATTCTTTATATTGAATTCTTAGGCATGGTGCTGAACATCCATTAACACAGAACTATGACCAAGGAAAAAGAAACAGATTTTTGCTTTTTTGTTGTTGTTGCTGCTGGATTTGTTTTTTTACATGTGGAATCTCACAATCACATTATTGACCATTTTAATAAATACAAGCATGTTTTGATTCACAGACAACAAAATACAGCATTTTTTTCACATTTCATTACAGTGCATAACAGAAGGCAAGGGAAAATATATAATAGTATTTTATTTGGGAGTTTTTGAAATTCAGACCACGGATCTGTGCTCCAACATGCAGTTTTGAACGTGATCCGTGGGTACCAGAAAAGTTAGTTTCCAGTTTTTTGTTGTGTTCACCCTGACATATCTAGTGAGTGAGCTTGTAAAGCTAAGTAAGTCCTTAGAAGTCCTTTGACAACCATTCATTCTCCGCTTAGTGTCCAGTTATCAGATCACTGAAACATGTGCTTTGAAGGACAAAAGTTTCTCTCTAGTTTAATTAGCAAATAAATTTTACAGTTACCTGCTGGATCTTAAATTTTCCGAATACTTCCAGTCAACTGGACTGGAAAATGCCAGCAGATGGGAAAGTGTACACAGAATGGATTTCTCTAGCAAAGACTTTAGAGAAATGTTGCCTCTGCCCTTTTCAGAACTGGCCTCATACAGTCAAACTCAATTATCCACTAAATAACCTTGCTTTCAAATTTGAGTAGGTGATGAAGTCTTGAGTTGGCCCAGTTGTCATTTTCTTTGACTTTGATCAGTAAAGCCTTGCAACTGGTCTCTTCAACCAAAACACCTCACTCTCTCAAGCTAGGGAATGCCTAAAATACAATTCAATTCATCATGTTAAGTACCCACTGTGAGTGCCAGGATTAGGTGCTGGGGACAGAGGTGACAAATGATCCAGGCCCTGCTCCAATGAACCTCGAAGTCCAGTGAGGACAAGACAGCATATGAAAACTAGAACACATTTTCCAATGTGCTAGATGCATAGGAAAAGCCTCCCCAAGATGCCTGACACATTTGGGGTAGGAGTGAGGAGACCAGGGAAAGAGCCCTTCCTGGGGAGGATTTCCTTCCTGATGGAGGTGACACCTGACCTGGGCATCCAAGGAAAGCTAGGATCAACTCATCGTCTGCTCGTGCCTTTGCTGGGAGCAGGGAGCTGACCGAGGTGAGGGTTCTAGCTCAGTCTGAGCCATGTCTTCCAGCTCCAAAGCTGTGTCCCAGGACAAAATCTAAGGATTGGAAAGGACCCTGGGGCCCACTTAGTCCAAGCCTCTCATTTTACTGAGGAGAAAACAGGCTAGGGAGGTTTAACAATTGACAAGTGGCAGGGACAGAAATCAAAATCATGGCCCCTAGTGCCAGATCCAAATTCTGCTTTGGGGCAGCATTCAGCACATGGGAGCTTTGCTTCTCAGCCAGCCAATCCCATGCCGGCTCCTACATGGGCTCTTCCCCTGTGGCTGTTTGGGAACTCATGACATGACCACATTCACATGGGAATTTCAGAATAAATGTAGTGGTATTTTGGATTGCTCATGCTCCTTTCCGTTAACATGAAAAACAGAAAACTACTAGCTAGGTGATCTTGGATGTCACCTGGCCTTCAATTTTCTCATCTGTAGAAGTGGAATGAATAATAGACTTGTGGGGCTGACCTCACAAACTGGAAGGGGAAGTCAGAGCTTATCTAGTCCAACCCCCTCATTGGAGAGAAGAAATGGAGACCCAGAATGGGGAATGGACTTCCAATGTCACAAAGGGAGTTAGTGTTAGAGCTGGGATTGTGGAGAAGGTCAAAGGAGAGACAGTGTATATATGTCAGATGCTTTGCAGGGCTAGGCCTTCATGCTGGGTGACCTCTCTGGGCCTTGGTTTCTTTATCTGTAAAATGAAGGGGTTGGAAGAGCAAACCCCTGAAGTCCTTTTTAACTGTACAGCTATGATCCGAGGGCTCCTTGGGGAAAGCGCTTGAATGTCTTAAGAGATTTAGATGAGTGTGCTCTTTTTCCTCCCTAATTTGCAGGGAATAGTCTTGGAACACTAACATTATCTGTTCCCTTCTGGCAGGTAAGGGAGCCTTTATATTTTTGTGATACTCTTCTCTGCTTCAAAAGACCGGTTTCTTTAAGCCTAGGTCCTTGGAAAATGGAACCAAGAACTAGAATGTTTCACAATTATTTATCATCCTCTCCCACCCCCACCCCCCACCAGAAGAAGGGGTCATGGGCTATCATGGTAACACAGGGTCAAAGATTGTGAACTGGGAGGGCCCTCAAGCCCACCTCTCTCTCCACCCCCCTCTCCATTTTACAGAGGAACTGAGTCCAGAATATCAAATCAAGGGAGATTCTGTGGTTCCCCCCCCCACCCCCCACCCCTGAGAGCTGACTTGAGTACCCATTGCCCTCAGATTCTGTTCCTCCTCATGTCTATGACCTTTTTCATCATGGACCTGGAGCTGGAAGGGCCCTCATAGATCATTCAGGCTAACCCTTACATAAAACCAAAAAAAAAAAAAACCTTGTTACTCCATTCTCAGCAAGTGATTAGCCAGCCTCTACTTGTAGACCTGCAGTGAAGGGGAACTCAGTATCTTAAAAGACAGCCCATACTATTGGTGCTGGGAGAGTATGGAGGAATCCCTCTCATCTAGGGAAGGCACAGCACAGAACAGGGAATTCTAGCAGAAGATTGATCAGGACTTGAGGGAAGCAGACTGGAGATTTTCTGTTTTTACATCTGCCTTGGGGGGGTGGTAATAGAAGAGTAGAGATGATAGATGGACACCCCTTCACCCCAGGCAGGAAGAGGTATGGTGAGCTCTACTTGGGGGGCTGGAAAAGTCAGAGTTGGACACTTTAGGAGACTAGCTTCTCCAAGAAGAGCTAGTGCTTCGTAAACCCTATTCTACTGGGGGGTGGGATGGCGGAGGGAGGGAGCACTTGGGTTCCTGGAGATACCCAGCTCCCAGAGGGACAAACAGGGGCCAGAAGTCCAAAGGGTGGGTGTTAAGCACATGATAAGGGAAGAAGGCAAGGAACAAGCCCTGAGCCCCTTGGGGAAGTTCAAAGATGGAGACCAGGACCCTGCTGCTTTCTATCTTTCACCTTTTCATCCTGATTCTGGGCTCTAGGACCAAGTTGCTATTCTATAGGGGGCCCTTTGAATACTTGGGCACAAGAGTCACACTCTCTCTCTCTTGTCTTCTGACTAATCTCTGGAATGACTTGGCTTTCAAGTTTTCTCCCTTGGACATTTGCCATTTCACCATATTTGCCATATCTCCCCACTCTTAGACAACTGTATTGTTGATTTGTTAACCTAAATGTAGGCCTCCATTTATCCTCATTAACTTTAATCTTCTTAGATTTGGCCCAGCAGTTCTTTTTGGATCCTGATTATGTTGTCCAAGGTATTAGCTGTCCCTCCCAGATACATGTTGCCTTTGTGCAAGTAACTGGGCTTTTAAATAAAAATCAAAGAGCCTTGTGGCATGCCATTGGACATCTCCCTCCATCTTGTCCACAAGGATTCAACAGGCCACTTTCATGTATCACAGATTTAGAATAAAGACCTTAGGAGTCATGTAGTAGAACCCTTTCACTTTACAGATGAGAAAACTGAGGCCCAGAGAGTTTAAGTGACTTGTCCAAAATCACACAGCAAGTAGCAGAGTTGGGACTGGCACCTTAGGACTGTTTCCCTGATAGACTAATATAATAACCCTGTCAAAAACAAGGAAATAGGGTGTGTCTAGTATGAATTTTTGACAATTCCGTATTGGTTCATGGAAATTAATTCTCTCCTCTGCTTAATGCTCAAAAATGCTACCATGATATTGCTTGGAATCAAAGTCAAGCTCACTAGCCACTAGTTTTCACATCATTAATATACTTCCTAATTCAATTCAAATGTGAATTCTCTTGTGAAATTGTCCACTACAATCTAGGCCTTTTGGGTTTCCTCTCATGAAGTATTTGTTATCTTCAGTGGCTGAACTTGGTTTCTCTTTGACATATTCATTCAGTGATGGAAGTTCTTGTGAAAAGGAATCATGATTAGATTACAACTAACTAGAGCAAGAACTCATGCTTTTGTAGTAAAAATATAGCTAACATTGAATACTAAGAACCTTTCTTTATATGGAAACAGTTCAAAAGCTTATGGTCTGGTGGCACAAAAACCCAACTGGAGAGTACGAGATGCTGCTACTCATGGTGTGGGGCCAGTCATACCCTAATGTCTCTCCCAAAAAGTTGTGGCTCATTTGGAAAGTTTAGTTAATTTAAAATTTAGGTGTAGCTAAATCTTAGTGTATTTTTTATGAATAAAAAGAATGTAATGATTGAATGTTTAATAAGTGTTTTATCTTTTAAAAAGAATTCAATTCCCTGGGTGTGTACTTGAATAAAATGTACTGCTGAAAAAACAAATATTGTGATATTTCCCCATCAATTCCCAGATGTTCAAGGGGGAGGAGGGCTGGCCTAAATAATCTCTCAGGTCTCTCCTACCCCTGAGTCTAAGATCAGTGGCAGTGAGGGACAGTGTAGTGTGATATGCTGGGGATCTGGATTGGAATCTTGTCTGTCAGTCACCAGTTGCTTGATCTCAGAGCTTCTTTCTCTCTGGGGCTAATAAGTTTTGGTACCTGTAAAATGTGGACAATATCCCTGCCTGTCTGAGCTCACAGAGTTGTTGGGAGAATCAAATGAGGGGAAGGATCGCCTTGAAAAGTGGGTATCTCAGTGTAAGATTTGTGGTGCCCAGCACATCCATGACAAATGGTTGTTGGTGGAATGAACCCATATTGATTTTGAGCTCAGCACTCTTGCCAGGTTAGGATGCTAAATGGGGGTGAGAAAGGTGGGTTGTTGGCTGCAGGGGGAACTGAACTCTGAAGCCCTCATTTCAGAGTTACCTCATTCAGTTATTTCTTCTTCACACACAGGACACTGGAAAAAAAGTGCCAAATACTAGGAGGGTTCCAGCTTCATTTTCCAGAGGGCCCCCACCTGTGCTGTTTTCCCAATTAAGAAAAAAAATCCACCTTCTTGATCATTAGGCTGGGGGTGAGGTAGGGTGTGGAGGAAATAATAGCAGCTCTAAGCACTTTACAAATGTCTCTCATTTGATCCTCACAACAACCCTTTGAGGTAGGGGCTATTATTACCCCCATTTTACAGGTGAGGAGACTGACGCAGACACTTAGTGAAGGGACTGTGCTTGGGGTCATTCTGGACTTCCTGACTCCAGGTCTGTGCGCTGTGGCCCCCCAAGCTGTTTTCAGCTTAATGGACTCATTCTTTTTTTTTTTTTTTTTTTTGCTCAAGGACCTGTCCAGCTACTATAAAGTAGAGAAGAAACTGATCTGGCTACATGTGTGTGTGTCCTTAGTTATGGGTCTATTTCATCATCTGTTAATGTGAGTAAGTTGTCCTCTTCCCTCCCTACTAGTTTGGGAGATCTCCTTCACTCGTCTTTCCTTCTCCCTCTTTGCCTGGCACATCATTGAGCGCACACACATCAGGAGCTCTGAATAAATATCCCATTGACAGATGGTATCTGCCCCCATCCTTGGCCTGAGGTCAGTCTGCCACCTCTCGTTAAAAGAGGCCCGTGTGGTGGCCACACTAGGTAGTCCCCCAAAGGTCCTTCCTTCTACTTTGTTCTTCAGGTTCTCAAATTGAATCACTGTCATTCCATGTTCCCAAAAAGCTAATGCATTTCTGCTCAATTCAGCACAGAATTTCTTCTTGTATTTCCCCAATTGATGTGAATGGCTTAGAGGAGACTGGGGAGCAGGGCACTCCCCAAGTGCAGCTTGAGATGTTCTGAATGATTTCCTAGTAGCAGAGGAGCTCAGCTACCACTTGTCATTTCCCTGGCTTCCCAGGCTCCCCTGCTTCACAGGAACAAAGAAGGCCTGGATGGAAAGTGGAGACTCAGGCCTCTGGATACATGAGTATATTTTCCAAACCCACAACAGCTGGCTTCTCAACTTGCCACTGAAGACAAAGAGTTTAAGACTCTTGATTTGTTCGTTTTGGAAAAGGGTAGGATCAGGGTGAAGGAAGGATAAACTCTATGGAAGCTAAAGTTTCCTGCCAGGGCTCCTCACACAGATGGGCTGAAGCCCATCCAGGACCAGGGCTTTAGAAACAACAGGATTTGAATTTTTCTCTTCCGCTTCTTAGATTAACAATCACGACCCACTAAAATTTTGAGAGGCACTGTAGTATAGTGGATAAAGAGCTGTTTCGTCTCAGAAAGACCTGCCTCTGACTCATGCTGGCTGTGTAATTCTGAGCAAATTATTTAGCCTCTCAGCACCCGAGCATCTCTCTCTCTCAGACATTAAGTTGCACGACAAGTGTTCATCTGAATTGGTGGAGGGTGTTTGCATCCCGAGTTCCCCCCACATCAACAAAATCCCAGGGGCAGACCTTTCCCCTCCTCTTCCCCACCCCCTCAAAAAATGATCCCATGGCATTATGTCTATTAGAACTGTACAATTTGGGGGCTGGAAGGGTCCTTGGAGAGCAACTCAAGCAGCCTCCACCTCACTGTAGGAGAAGTTACTCTGAAGCTGGGAGAGGAGGCAGAACATAGCAGTGATAGTGATCCCTGAGCTCAGACACTTCACCTACAATTCCCTTGGAATATGACAATTCTGGGGTTGGGGTTGGGAGGGGGTTTGGTTTTTTTTTTTTTGTTTTTAGTTTCCTCTCTGTTCCAGTTCCCACAGACCCTCAACACAAACATCCACCATTGTGCCTTTCTGACAAGGTCTGGATTTCCCATTTGGAAATAGGGTTATTGGGAATGTGACATCATTCTCATCTGTGGCTAAAGTTACTCTCACCTGCTGGTGAGCACACTAGTATGCTACAACTCTCCATTACATTTCTGTTCAGTTAGTACAGTATGTTTTATTAATAAAAATTGTGTCTGGCTTACTAGGGTTGGCTAACATAGGCATCTCCTATCTGATTTGACAACCTCTTCTGAGGAGTGAACGACATTTGGCACAAAGCCACTCTTTACCCCTTCCCAGCCTTCCTGGATGGTAATCTCCCCCTTTTTGACCAGCTCATAGATTTCTCTAGTCAGGTCTGTGAAGGCTTTCTCCACATTAATGGCATCTCGGGCTGAGGTCTCAATGTACTTCATACCATACCCAGCAGCAACTTTCTCTGCCTCGTGTCGGGTCACTTGCCGTTGGGTGTCCAGGTCACACTTGTGACCCACCAAAACAAACACAATCTGGTAGGGCTGGACATGGACTTTGGTCTCTTCTAACCACTCGTGGACATTCTGGAAGGACCTTCGATTGGTGATGTCAAATAAGAGAAGGCCACCTACAGAGTTCCTGTAGTAGGCTCTGGTGATAGACCTAAAAAACATGAAGGAAGAAAAAAATGACATCGAGAGCTCATGGGCCTCACTCAGTCCCAATTTGGCATACACACACACACACACACACACACAGAGCCTATCTGCTGGCTTCCAACATAAGTATTTAAATTAGGCAAAACCTCAAAAGGTGTCAAAATTCATTGATTCCCAGCTCCTTTTCCCAGATTCAGCACTAGGAAGGTTTCTTGGGAGTTCATATAATCCATCCCCCAGTCTTGAAGACAGAACTAAACTCTATAGAGTATGGCACCATGGGAAGAACACTGGATTTCAAGTCAGAGAATATGGGTCCAAATCCTGGTGCTACTTTCCTACCTGTGACTGGGACCTCTCGCAGGGGGTGGGGAGGAAGGTTTAGTTCTCAATTTTAAAAATGAAGGGGTCACATTTGGATTATAAAATCTTATAAATTGTGGAATATGTCTTATGGACAATCTTTCAGAGGTAGACTAAGATTATTTAATACAATTTTTTCCCCCCTTAGGCAACTGGGGTTAAGTGACTTGCCCAAGGTCACACAGCTAGTAAGGGTCAAGTATTTGGTCTGAGGCCAGATTTGAACTCAGGTCCTCCTGACTTCAAGGCCGGTACTCTATCCACTGCACCACCTAGCTGCCCCTTTAATACAGTTTTTAAAGAGTATACTTTGGTGCATGCTGCGTGCTGGATTCAACCTGCTCAGTAACTTCTCAAGTCAAGGATAGTAGTGCTAGTTGGGTTCTAGTCTTTTCTTTGATGGTGGGTAAAGAACAGAACCTAGAGGGGCAGCTAGGTGGCTCAGTGGATAGAGCTCCAGCCTTGGAGTCAGGAGGACCTGAGTTCAAATCTGACCTCAGATACTTGACATTTACTAGCTGTGTGACCCTGGGAAAGTCACTTAACCCCAACTGCCTGACCAAAAACAAAAAAAAAAGAATAGAACCTAGAACTTTGGTGTGTGTATTGGGAATTTTTGTTTTCATTAACATTCATAGAGCACATTAGTGACACACTAAGTTTTTCAAGGAAAGCGCTTGTGTGTGAGCTTAATCATTGCTGCAGTTCACCGAATCAAATATGCAGATAATACTTAATAAAAACATAGGAATGAGAAAAAGTATAACTATTTTGTAATTAAAAGTTGTAACTGTTGCTCTTGTAACTATGTGTGTCAAAATAGAATCTGTAATAAATTTGTTCACTAAGCATGAAAAATAAAAATAACATTTCTTCCTGTCAGACTAGATAACGTCCAAAGTCCCTTCCAGTTTTAGATCTATGAATCAATTAATCAGCAAGCATTCATATGGTGCCTACTATATGCCAGAGGAAGCTAGGTGGTGTAGCAGCTAGAATGCTGGGCCTGGAGTCAGGAAAACTCTTCTTCCTGAGTCCAAATCCAACCACAGACATTCACTAGCTGTGTGACCCTGGGCAAGTCACTTCACCCTATTTGCCTCAGTTTCCTCATCTGTAAAATGAACTAGAGAAGGAAATGGCAAACCACTCCAGTATCTTTGCCAAGAAAACCCCAAATGGGGTCATGAAGAGTCAGACATGACTGAAAAATGACTGAACAACAAAAACAACTATGTGTCAGGCACCAGGTTGATCAATGGGAATACAAAGACACCACTAAGACAGTCCCTGCCCTCAAGGAGCTGCCATTCTAATGATTAATGAACCTATGGGGTCTGTTCTATCTGCCAACAGAGGCTGGATTAGCCCTCATCGGGTATGGTAGAGTGAGGATTCCAAATAGACTAGACGGCTATGGGGGTTCCTTCCAACTCTCAAATCCTATTATCCTGATGATACATTTTAGGTGTTGTTTCTATCAAATGTATTTGTAATAAATGGTTTTCAGGGTCTATTATTTTTCTTTGCATCTTAATTCTATTTTTACAATAAGTACAGATGAAATTGATACCTTGGCTAATTTCTTCTCTTTGTTTCATAGATTCTCCATAAAAGTCCTATAGCAGAGCATTATCATGGCCTGGAGGTGACTCTTGGCTTTTCAAAGCTAAGCTAGCAAAACATAAGTTCAGGTCGGTTCTATCATGCTGGAGAAGTACAGTCCTGGCATCAGAGTGAGCCTGCTTTCTATGGCCCAGCTGAGCTAAGTGTGGAAATGCTTGTTGCCAGAAGCCTCAGCTCATTAGGAGATGAACTCTTTGGCCATGGCAATCAGTGAGACCGGAAAACCCTTCGAAAAGGCCTTCCAGCCTGGGCTGTCCCTCTGCCTTTGCTTTTGCTGGAACAGTGGCAAAGTAGGCTAAGAATCAGAATTTTCAGACTGTCCGGAAACGGGAACTTACCTCTTGGAATTCTATCCCATCCAACAAGCATTTATTAAGTACCTGCTATGTGCCAAGCTCTGGGAATAAATACCAAGACAAAAAGGAAACTACCCCTGCCCTTGGGGAGCTTACATTCGACTGTGGACAAACAACAAAGATGAGTGTGAGATCCTTGTCCGATAACCAAGGAGGTGAACCAACCAGCAGAGAAACTGAATCAGATCACTATGAATATTTTTGCTATAAATGAAACCAGAATACAAAAAGAAAGCTGCCACTAAATAGAGGGAGGGCTCATAGGAAAACTGGTAGATTTGTCTTTATTATACATCCAAAAGCAACCAGAGAAATCCTTTCCTGAGACACTTGCTCATCTTGAAGAGCAGCGCTCCACGATGCACTTTTGCAAACAGAATGGCCTGAAGAGACCTGCAGCTTATGCATCAATCTCCTCTGGTGCACAAGCTAGAAATGCCCAATTACTAAGGTGGAGAAATTTGATGACAAGTTCTGTATCAACCTTGGAGTTAAATCAATGAAAAGATGGGCCTAAGGGAGGGTGGTAAACAATAAAGAAGTAGGAAACAAAAGAGGACAAAGGTTTGTGGACTGCATGGAAGTCTTGTGTCTGTATAGCATGAGTATTTTCCTTAAGAAAAGAGTTGGGGGCAGTTAGGTGGTGCAGTGGATAGAGTACTGGCTCTGGAGTCACATAACACTCACTAGCTGTGTGACTCTGGGCAAGTCACTTAACCCCAATTGCCTCACCAAAAAAAAAAAAAAAGAGTTGAGAGGTATTAGGTATGGGGAATGTATATCACCACATTACAAAAAAGGAAAATGATTACAACTTGCCTGGAAATTAGTGGTGGGATTAGATGTGGGAATCATTTCCAAATCTGATAAAGTATATCCAAGTATGATGTAGTATATAGTAAGTCCATTGACTTGTTGGAACAAAGATGAAAATTAGAAAAATTAAAATGTGATATTTTTGTTGTTGTTATTCAGTCATTTTTTCAGTCACATCCGACTCTTTGTGACCCCCATTTGGGGTTTTCTTGGCAAGGATAGTGGAGTGGTTTGCCATTTCCTTCTCCAGCTCAGGTGACGGATGAGGAAAATGAGGCAAACAGGATTAAGTAACTTGCCAGGGTCACAAAGCTAGTGTCTGAGGCCAGATTTGGACTCAGGAAGTCTTCCTGACTCTAGGCCCAGCCACTGTACTACCTAACTGCCCCAAGATGTGATACGCCTTGCTTAAATAACAGAGCTGGACACGATCTCAGATTGTATCTAATAGAAACTACTCAACTTAACAGTTTACAGACTGTCAAAGCAAGAAGTGCCCTGTCATCTGAAGTCTCTTTCTTTTGCTCTATTTCTCCTTCTACCACCTCATTTTACAGCCAGGGAGAGAAAGGGGCTTGCTCATGCTGAGGGACATAGTTCACTTAGCATGTGACTTTGTAGGATGTTCGATTACTGTCAGTTACTTTTTCTACAATACTATTATTTGGTTTCCTATTATTATAATAAAACCTCCCTTTGATCTAGCATGGCTAGAATGCCTGAAAGTAAAGAGTTATCAGCCTTCTGGTCTGTGGGGGTGGGGGATCTGAACAGCTTGTAAGTTATATAAATTTTCTTAAGTCTCTAGTTACATGTAAATCTCCTTGTAACTGTCTAAGGTTGAGTGACCTGAGGACAGAAGAGATTTTTTTTTTAACATACCATGGAAGATGATCATAACATAAAGCAGCAATCATTAAAAATCTTTGCTACTTGCTAAAATGTAAAAGAGTAGATAAGTGGAACAGACTCAGAAACAATTGAAAACACAAACCCAATGTTTGAAAAACTCAAGAACATACACTAGGAGAAGGAATCCCTATTTGACAAGAACTTCTGGAAAAAATGGAAGGTAGTCTGGCAGAAATTAGGCTTAGGTCAGCATCTTATACCATATTCCACAAATAAGTTTCAAATGGATAGTCAACCTAAATATAAAAGGGCACATCATTAAAAAAAAATTAGAGAAGAATGGAAGCCTTTCAAAACTGTTGTAAATAGAGAAACCTTAAGTAAAGAGGAGATAGAGGAGATTGCAAAAGACAATTTGGATTACATACAATTAAAAACTTTTGTATGACCAAAATCTAAGACAACTAGAATAAGAGAAACTGAGTGGGGGGAAAATTTGCAATAAATATCACTGATAAAAATCCAGTATCTAAGATATGTACACAAATATACATAGGCAGTTTTCTCTCTCTCATAATTTTTAGTTTAGACAAAAGCTATTCCTTTGGTAGTCAAAATATATAAACAGGTTTCTCAAGAAAAACTGCAAATTATTAATGACCATATGAAAATATGCTCTAAACCAGTACTTCCATCAAAAAAATTGGCAATAGTAAAAGGTTTCTGAATGAGCAATGAGCAAAAATTAATTAAAAATCCAACGTGTGATGAATCCAAGATATTTCTGGCAGTGCTTGCCTGTGTTCCATTGTGCAACTTGACTGCAGCCTTGGTTCTGAACACAAAGCAAGCACATTTTGCACTTCGAGTGCCGTCACAACCACGCAGCACCCACGAAAGCTGCCGAAATGTAGAAAGGGGTCTCCAGTGGAAAAAGTTTAAGAAGCCCTGCTCTAAACCACTAATAATAAGAGAAATGCCAATTAAAATA